GGGGGGGGGGGGGGGAGCTTACCCGCCAGGGCCGGGGCGGCTGGAGGGCAACATGCATCATCATTGTGGCAGGGCCGCGCGAGTTCGGGGTGGGTTGGCTTCCTCGTCGGCCCTCAGCTCAAGGTGGGTGAACGCATGAACGAGTTGGTCGCGCCGTGCGCTGTCGGGATCAAGCTTCAATACGCAGCTATAGTAGACACGTTTGCACTTCTCGAAAGCGAGGCCTCGAAGGGGTCGGCGAAGCCGCAATTGGCAGGCGGCAACACCAGAGCGAGGGTGGCGGCCGGTGGCGAGAAATGGGTTGACCGGTCAACCGATCGTGGTGACTTCAGCGCACAAGTCGAACCCAAGCAACCGCCGAAAACTCTATCAAACGCGACAAAAAGTAACTCAGGGCTCTCTATAAAAACTGCAAAAACCATCTGATTAGCATCATGGGACAAAGGGTTTGCTGATGGCGTCAAGCAAGTTGATTGGCGAACGATGCCCCCATTTCTCGCCTTGCCCTCTCGCCCTGCCTCCTTGCCTCCTCTATCGTCCCGCTTCCCATAGTCCTCATAGTCCTTGACTGGATCTACACAGGATCGACCGACCATCCCGCACCCCCTTGGCTGCCGTTCCCTCCTCACCTTCATTTCCGAGGGGTACGCACTCCTCTCCATGCCGTAAAAAGCAGGTCATCTAACCCCTCTAACTTAATATTATATGACAAATAACCACCGCGTCAGTGTGTGTCAAAGGGAGAGAGAGAGAGAGAGAGAGAGAGAGAGAGAGAGAGAGAGAGAGAGAGAGAGAGAGAGAGAGAGAGAGAGAGATAAAGAAAGAAAGAGAAAAGCATAAACAGAGAGAGGGTTTGAGAGGGAGAGAGTTTGAGAGAGAGAGCGTTTGCAATTTTGTTTTTCTTTCGTTTGGATTCAAAGAGGTACGTTCGCCTGATGATGCGGTCGCTGGCGTATGTGGCGCGATGGACGCCCGGGGCGCCACTGTCGGCTTTGGTCGTTTTGCTTTTGCTCTGGTTGATAGGAGGAGGGAAAGGGCTGGGTGGGGAAGACTGATTCCTGTGCATCGCGTCGGGCGTTGTTGTTGGACAGCGCGTTTGCGCGAGGGCTGAGCTTCGTTCTGATAGTGCACTGCTGGCTGTGGCGCGCGCATAGATTTCTACAATTTAACACAACGGGATGGCCAACTACGCGAACGATGCCGCGGCCTTGATGGCGCAGGCTGAGAAGAAGCTCAACTCGGGCGGTGGCTTTTTTGGCATGTTCTCCAACCCGACGCTCAAGGCCGAAGAGGCTGCTAGCCTCTATCGTGACGCTGGCGTCAAGTTCAAGGTGGCCAAGATGTGGCAGGAGGCCGGCGAAGCCTACATCAAGTCAGCGGAGGCCTTTGTCAAGGCTGAGGTTGGTGCCATATGGAGCTTGCCAAGACATCTGCTTTACTTTGCGATTCCACTTGGCCGCTTCACACTCACCTCTCTCTCTCTCTCTCTCGCATGGGCACGGCACCAATTTCCTTAACTTGATTCCGTCCCACTTTGATTGGATGTGTCATAGCTGCCGCACGAGGCAGCAACTTCCTATCAAGAGGCCGTGACACCCTTCAAGAAGGTGTCACAGGACGGTTCGTCAGCTAGTTGGGCGTTTGGCCTCGCGATTTCCGTCATCTCATCGAGCTCTGTGCTGTTTGCTTGCGACAGACGCCGTCATGTGCATGGAAAAGGCTGCAGCCACCTACCTTGATATGGGCCGGTACGTCAGCGATTCCTATTGATAGCTGGGCTGGATTGTTCATGCCACGTCAAGCCCATGTTCTTCTCATCGCTTACACAACGGATGCCGCCTTGCTATTGTGCTTGCAGGTTTGCCATGGCCGCTAAGCAATTCAAGTCGATCGGTGAGGTGGCGGAGAAGGACCTGGCGGATTTGACCCGGGCCAAGGAGTTTTACAAGCGCGCTGCCGATGCGTTTGAGAGTGAGGACTCACAAACCAGCGCCGACAAGCTCAAGCTCAAGGTATAATGCACGATCCAGCCACTCGCGACGGCTGGGTAGATTGGGTTGCACCATTGTTCAGATCTCATGACTCTATCGCCGCCCAATTGTGTGTGTGTGTGTGTGTGTGTGTGTGTGTGTGTGTGTGTGTGTGTGTGTGTGTGTGTGTGTGTGTGTGTTGAAATTGTAGATTGCTTCCATCTCCGCTCAGGAGGAGGAGTATGAAGAGGCTTGGACCCTCTTTGAAGAGGTCGTGGAGCGCATGGTGGATAAGTACGTTGTCTGCTTCGCTGGATGGTGCATCTGCAACTTGAGTGCCCAGTGTCGGTTTTCCAGCGTGTTCAAGAGCAAGGCTCATGGTCACACATTGCTTGCTGTGGTGGCTCCACGATGGCCATTTTATGATAGTAACCTCCTCAAGTTTGGCTCCAAGGAGTACTATCTCAAGGCTGGCGTCTGCCGTCTCCTCTCGGGTGACGTGGTTGCCACCAAGGTTGGACTGACGGTCTTTTTTCGTTTTGCAGCATCCGAGTTGTCATTTCTACCGCTCATCTTGATACATGGTGCCTCATGGCATGACCCATCGGCCATTGGCAGCGCGCCTTTGAAGGCTACACAGTGCAGTACTCTGCCTTTGGTGATACGCGCGAATGGCGCTTGCTTCAGGGCCTCATTGAGGCTTGTGAGGAAAACGACGTTGAAAAGTTTCAGCAGGCGTTGGCGGAGTATGATAGCGTACAGAAGTTGGACTCGTGGATGACCACCATCTGCTTGCGCCTCAAGAAGACGCTTTCTGCTGAAGAAGATATCTTGTAGTTTTCTGACTCACATACTCGCAGTGCAGTGACAATTTTTGCCACTGCTGCCGCCACAAACACCACTATCGGCCAATAACACTCGGAAGACATGACGAAGCCTTTATTTCGTTGCTGCGTGACAGATGTATGTGTGTTTGGGTCGTGTGCCTCAGAGCTTGAGGTGTCGCTTATATTTCTCTTCTTCTCTCATTCTGATGGTCTGATCCTGAAGTCACAACCCGCGTTGTCGTTTCGTGATCGTTTCATGTTCCATGTCCCATGTCGAGTCGTTCGTTGCGGTTTTTTTGTTTTTTTTTTGTGTGAAGTTTTGTGTGAACAGACGCCACGCTGTGACGCGGAAGACTATGCAAACAGCACCTTGGGCATTTAGTCTTAACTCTGCTCAATCGATAGGGTATTTGAAGAAGTGGTGAAGCTGTTGATCACGTGATAGTCAAGCGTGCCATCCGCTGTGAATTCCACAGCAAATGTGTTCCAGACCTATTAAAGGCCAAGGCAAGCACATATGAGACAAGAATGGCAATTGGCAAATAAGCGCAATGCCAATGTGAACAAAAAGAGGAGGGGGAGAGTTTGAGGTTTGAGAGAGCTTGAGAGAGTTTGAGAGAGAATACAAAACAGCCCGAGTCGGTTTCGAACTGACATCGGCTTCTTGGTCCTTGTCAGGATTGGCTGGCAGCATGGCGGCCATGCGGTTACCAATGTAGAGTCGTGCAATCGCCCTAAAGTTCCCAGGCAATCAATCGTTGATAACCGGCCAAAGCATGCAGGAGAAGACTGTAAGTTGAAGTACTCAGCGTCAACAGGAATGGGCATGGTACTGTGTTTGGGGTGGAGAAGGAGGTCGGGCCAAACTTACGCCGCGCCGTCAAAGCGATCGCCATTTTCAACACGAACAGAGTGAGCGTAGAGACCTTTCTGAGCCCGTGCGTCCACGGTAATGGTCTCGGGGCCGTAGCCTGCGGTTTCATCACGTGCAAGCTAGATGCCAAGTCCACGAAATGCAGCAGTGCAGGTGTTGAGCAGGGAAGAAGTGCGACATTGCAAACTATGAGCAGCCAAGCCAGAGGGTGATACCTGTGCAGCGTCGTTGGCACCGCAGGCACGATTGGTGTAATTGACTTGGCAGCCAGAGGGTGTGTCCAGGATCGAGTCGAGGTCCGCTGGGAACTCGGTCCACGTGACAACAATGCGAAAGGAGGTGGACTGTAGACTGGTGGAGACGGCGAGGTCTGCCAACGTATTCTGCGAGGGTGGGTCAAACGCGCAATTGGATCAGAGGCTTGATATTCACCATCGCACACAGGAGCAAGTTTCCGAGTCGACCAATCTCGTACCGAGGGAATGGGGGCGACTCCAACAGGGATGAAAAAAGTTGTGGGCGCGAAATGGGGGTCCAAGAGAGTGACGTTGGCATCTTGGTTGACGCGGGCAACAAAGTTGTAGCGGCCATTAAAGTCAGCCTGTACTCGGTGGCGCTGGCCTCCACCAGGGCTGATGGAGAGGTTGGCAAAGGGCAGAGGTTGGTATGAAGCGGCGTCCAGAACATAGCCGAATACGGGTAGCTCGGTAAAAGTCGGTAGGGAGATGTGACAAAAGTCAGGGGGTGCAAAGTCATCCGGCGTGAAGGGATCGTTTTGACGAACGACGTCGGTGAAGATGTAGTTTGTGGTCACACCGTAAGGATAACGGCCCAGCATGACGGTCATCTGGTCCAGGCTCATGTTTTTGTCCGTGTCAAAGCTGTTGGTGAGGATGGACCAGATGTACATGGCGCGCACATCCTCGGTAAGGCTCCATTCCTCCACTGTCTGCCCATCACGGGTTTGGTTCTGCTGAAAGGTAGCCCCTGGAGGCAAACGGCTAAGCATCATGGGTTCTGTCGTGTTTTGAGTCTTGCAAGTTCCAGTGTTGCAGGCAGTATCGTTGCAGAGCACCTGTTCCAGCGAAAGAAGCCGTTGTGATTGTGCGAAGAGTCTGACGCTGCACAGACAGGGTGTAAATTGGGTAGACTATTATGCAAGGGGACAGTTGGGTGCACAAACCGTGACAGCCAGGTTGAGGTTGTAGTAGTGGATGTGGAGTTGGGGCAGGCCGTCCGTCTCGTTGAGCCAGAGAAGCTGGCTCTGCAGTGGATATGAATAGAGGAGGTCACCTGTGTTTACAAATCCGAGTAAAGGAGTTTCAAAAGCATTGGTGTTGTGGTTAGCCAGCACACGCAGCGTGTGGCAAAGAGAGAGAGAGAGAGATATGGCGCTCGGCTGAACACAGACCAGAGATGGGAATTGGCGAGCCAGGATCTGAGACGTAGGTGACATGACTGCCGTAAGAAGTGGGCACACTGCAAAGAAATGACATAAGCTGGTTACAGTTGGGTAGAAGACAGAGGAAGAACAACGCAGCGAGCAAGCTGGGCCAACAGAAGCCGAGGGTGCCTGCCGGTGACCAGGGCTGGTCTGCAACCCGTACGCCACGACCATTGCTCCACGATAATCATGTGATAAAGCAGTGCCTACCTGGGCACGTCTGGTATCATAAGGGCCACTGCACCACTACCCACGACTGTGAGCAGCAGGCTCAACCCCAGCATGATATGCTCGAGTCGTCGCCAAATCATTGTGCCTCGTTCGGAAAAAAAAAAAAAAAAGGCTCCGACCCCAAGATCCCAGCATCGTCACTTCTTTCGCCAGCTGATAACTGGGAGCAGTGCTACCACATGTCATTGCAAGACAATTCAATTTTCAAGAAGGCTCAGAACACAATGTCCGCTCGTGCGTTGTTTTCTCGAAACTAAACTTCTTGGGCGCCCTCTCTCTCTCTCTCTCTGTGGGTGTGTGTGTTTCCTTTTGTTCTCAAAGAACAAAAGAAACCAACAAAAGAACAAAAGAACCGAACAACAAACAACAGCAGTAGCAGTCGTACCACTAAAGTGAATGCTATTCTGACTGTGAATGCTATTTGAATGCTATTTTGGTTGTTTGGCAGTGAGAGAGTGAGAGAGAGAGAGAGAGAGAGAGAGAGAGAGATTTTTTTTTCTTCCGAACTGAGCGCGCGCGCGCTCAACGACTTCCGGACGGCTCAGGAAGACCTGATTCTTCTGTCCTGGTGGTCCAGACCTTGGCTGGACTGGCTGGATTTTACTGGCGGGGTAAGTGAGTGCAGCGGGAGCTATTGGAAAAGGTGGACGGGATGGTTGGGCGCACTGGACACTTGATGTGTTTGTGTACATGAGCTGTAACTTCTTGATTGGGCGCTGCATGCACCACGTCTCGAGCTGGGGTTGCCCATTTGCGCACGAGCAACTGCATCTGTCTCTGGGACAGACTTGCTCGGCACAGGGTCCCAGCCCTGCGCCGGCCATCCGGCTGTCCACCAACGCACATGCACACACATGTTAGCTCAGAAGGAGATATAGCCCTCATTCTTCATCTTGCTCGCCGCTGTCCCTCTTCTGATCCACCTAGAGGCACGAAGTGCACGCGCGAGCGATTGCGTCCTTTTTTTCAGCCGCGCCCTTTGATCAGCTCATCTATGCCAAGCCCATCAAAGCTGGTTCATGTAGAACGGCATGTTGCGGTAATGCGTGCGGCCCGCTTGGCCGCCAGCCCGCGCGAAGGATCTTGAGAAGGTGATCAACTTTTCATAGCAAATGCCAAAGTATCTCAAGCAGCACGTAGGCTTGTGGTGAAACACAATTGCGAGCGCCATCCGTGCTGCAGTCTCAACCAAGAGTTATGGACAATACCAACTCACCCGACGATCGCGCTCGGCGCGTCCTTGAGGCGAAGCGTCTATATGCCGAGCGCAACCGGAAGAAGAACAATGTCCGAAAAGCCAAGGGTAAGACTTTTGCACCTACAGAGGCACTCACACGAGGCTCCGAGCAATCTAGGCCTGCCTGGAGGCGAGAGGCCAAAAGCTTGTCCTTTCCCCTCCCAGCGGCCGGGCTGAAGTTTGCATCCGCCGTCTCAACGCTCACGAATTGCCCTCCCTTCATGTCGGGCGCAGACGCTGGTGTGCGCTCCGAGCATGCCCGTGGCCCTGGTAGTCCGGGTCGTGGACCCACGAGCAGTAGTGCCAGTCCAGGAAGCCGTTCCCCTGGTGGCTCAGCCACCGCAAGCCGCACCCCGAGCGGCCGTTCTGCGTCAAGTATGTCTGATCAGAGTTGAACAGACAACTTTCAACACCCAATCCGCCTTGCGGTCCTCGTTGACAAAGATGAGGCCGCCCGATACCGGTGCAGGGTGCCTTTAATCCAGTGGCGCTTGCACGGTAACATTTGAAATCTCACACCATCCACATCCTCCGCATAATGATAGAGAACCGTGAAGCGTCGGATACCGGATCGGCTGCAAAGCCACACCTGGCTGTGCCAGGCGCACGCGCACGAGGCGATGGCAGCAGTAAGCCGGCCAAGACAAACGGCTCAGCCTCGCCGAAGGCGGCCTCGCCAAAGGAGCGGCGCTCGCCCAGGCCCCAGCACCTGCCTACACCAAGCAACGTGCCGCAGTCCCCCAAGAACCGACCACGTTCTCCCAAAAGCCAGCCACGTTCCCCAAAAACACAGCCACGCTCGCGGCCACGCTCACCCAATCGGCCACGCTCTCCAAATCGACCACGCTCCCCAAAGGTTGGCCCAGCATCACCGCGTTCTGCACGCCCAGGCGTGGGTGGCACCACGCCGCCAGCCCACAAAAAGGCCGATGCTGTCATGGCTGCGCTCACTTCAAAAGAGCCCGAGGCCACACCCGAGCGGCCGCGACGAAGCATTGACGAAGATGAGGATGGCACTCGTCGACCCAGCAGCAGCGCCAGCACGTCATCCAACTCTTCGCGTGGCTTCTTTCGCCGAGCCCGTCTCAATCTGTTGGGGCGCTCGTCTGCCAGCGATGGAGCCACCCCTACGAGCCCCAACGGCAAGAAAACCGGGATGGTGTATGAGGTCCCCAAAGCTGCTAGTCGGTTGCAACGCCACTCTTCTCGGGACAGCGACGCCTCCACGGTCTCAGCCGACCACGTATACGACATGATTGACGACCAAAACGTTCTGCCCTCGCCAAACCCCATCTCTGACCTCGATCCCGTCATCTCCTCGCCCTTGGCCCTCGTCGAGTCTTCGCCCGGCACCTCCCCGGGGGCCTCGCCCAGCGTCGATCGCAAGCTGCGCAACATCTTTAGTCGCCTCCGCCGGCGCGATAACTCACGCCTCCAAGATCACACCTCAAACGCCGCGTCTGCACCCACCTCAACCGCTGCGACGGATGACGAAGCCTCAACTTCCTCCTTGGCACGGCGCAAGTCTAATAGCCCCAAGGGCCTTCGAAGCACAGCAACAGCAAACAAGAGCAGAGGCACGAACAAGGGCCAAGGAAAGAACCAAACTCATGGGCTTGCCTCCGCAGGGCCAAGCCCTTCGGTCTCCGCCAGCTCCCTGGGCATGGCGTCCACAGTAGCAGCGCCAGCCGCGCCGCCCATGGACGCCGAGGTGGCGAGCGAGAGCCTTCGCGAACAGATGCAGTCGGATATCCAGCGCTACCTGAAGCGGCTCATGCCCTATCTTGTACCTCTCAGCTCGGTCACCCGCCACCCCAACCCCATTGGAGCTGGGCAATTCGGCGAGGTGTACGAGGGCTCCTTGGTGACTGACACCTGTGCGTAGCCTGCTACCGTCTGAATGAGTAAAGTGCTGCGTACCACCTCCATCCCCTCAACGCACGTGGCTCACCGCACGTGTGACCGGCTTAGATAAACAAATTGTTGCCATCAAAGCTGCAAAAGCCTCACATGCCGATAATTTTTTCAGTCGAGCCGAGCTCTTGCGAGAAGCGGCCATGATGGCGGTACGTACTTTGTCATCTTTTTTTGCGCTCTTGTGTGTCATTTTTTCACGTCGCTTGCTTGCTTTGGTTTCTTCATCATCATCATCCGCGGCAAACTAATGGTCACTGTTCTCGGGCCACGTCCTGCTGCTTTTGAATACTGGCAGAAAATCACCGAATTGCCTCATGAGAACGTGCTCTCGCTCGTGGCCGTCGTGGCTGACCCTTCCGCTGAGGGTGGCCTTTGGGTCATCTCCGAGTACTGTAGTGAAGGCAACTTGCGCAACTTCTTGATGGCCCACGCGCCAGACTGTGCGTCATTCAAACACCCGCTGTTCATTCTTGTCACCTACCGAAGGGGCCGCACACGCCTCACTCACACAACCTTCGTTGGCTTTCCTTGCTTTAGCCGCGGCCGAATACAAAATCTCTGAGCTCGAACTCATTTCCTTTGGAGAGCAGGTACTTTTCTTATCGAGTGCTGTTGTGCTCTTCCACCCTTCTGCGTCTCTTGATCCCAATCTGGGAAGAATGCTCGATGTTTCTGTTTTGTTTTTGTGCCGTTGCCGAGACAGCGGAGGGTTTGTTTCCAAATTTCCACATGCGCAACGTGACCACACCTCGCGGTTTGCTTCCAGTCCATCACTCACTGCCGCCCCTGTCGCAATTGCTCTCAAACCCGTCGTATGCAGATTGCGTCAGGAATGAACCACTTGGCGTCGCTGGGCATCGTGCACCGCGATCTGGCAGCCCGCAATGTGCTTGGTATGCTTTGCATTCGGTCTTGTTTCAAGCCCACACCCTTTGTGCACATACAGACAGAGAGGAAGACAAACAGAAGCGGATGACGAGAAGGCAGCTGGATGCACGTGGGTGGCTTGGAAAAGATATCGGAGGCTGACGATGACCGTTGCTGCTTACAGTGGATATGCACCAAGTTTGTCGCCTATGCGATTATGGGCTGGCCCGTGAAGGAGCCGTGTATATGCGTGCCCACGCACGCTCCATGCCCATTGCTTGGATGAGTCCCGAAGCCATATCACATGGCACCTTTAGTCAGCAATCAGATGTGTGGGCATTTGGCGTTGTCTTGTATGAGATTTACAGCTGGGGTGCACAGTACGTTGATTGTTTATGAGCCCGTCGCGTCGGGCCAACAGGTCGCACGACTTTCCACTAACAGCTGGCTCGCACCGGGTTGTTGCAGACCTTACGGTGGCATGGGGACAGAACAAGTTATTGACTTTGTTCGCAATGGGCGCCGGCTGCCCGCACCCGTGGGCACACCAGATAGCGCCAAGCAGCTCATGACGCGCTGCTGGAGTGCGCGCGCCGACGAGCGCCCAACCTTTATGGTTAGCACCATCGCATAATGTGACGCACACTTGTACTGGTGGTGTCGCGGCTGGCTGTTGTCAGCCAACTCATCGCGTGGCTTCTTGCATGCACACAGGATATTATCGAGTCACTGCGTAAATTGCACGAGGACACGAAGACTCGCCTAGATCGCTTGCGCCACCGGCATAGCGGGGGTCTCCTGTTGGTGCGTGCCGCGCGTGTTCCCCCTGTGATGGTTATATTTACCTTGGTTTTCACGGCTTCATTTTGGATATTCCCATCATGGTGTAGCAACTCAAGCGCAAGAGCAACTCGCGCAACCGTCTCGACGTTCTCACAGACGCAGCCTTTCACGACTTAGTGAAGCGGGGTGAGTCATGCATCCATGAGCTCAAACGTGCCCTTCTCCTCCTCGCCACTTGTCCTCGCCATGCATTGTTTGCTGATTCAACCATTGCCGGCTACGTGGCGTTGTTTCGCAGGCGAGATCGACCCCGAGACTGTTAAAACAATTTTTAGCATGTATGCCATGGGTGGCCTGAGTTTGACGAGTGAGGAGCACTCACGCACCCCTCTCGAGCGAGCTCGAGCTCTTCATGAACTCTACGAGCGTAATAAGACAGAATCAGAGGCTTAGATCCGGGCGTCCCCCTCCCCCCATTTGAGTGCGCATTCGTGTGAGCTGGGCGGCCTTTCGTGGCTCAAGTTTGACTTGTTATGGCCGCTTTTCCCATGCCACACAACCCCTCCCGTATTTTGACCACTTTTTTTAACCCCCCACTTTTGTGGTTAACTAAAGCTCCTGTAGATGATGTGTTCAAGTGAGGCTGCAACTTGTCGTGGCTTAAAATTGACCACTTTTTGAGATCGTCGTAAGGTCGAGTGGTCTGTGCCGGAATTAAAGAAGAGGAGAACAACAAAGACAGAAAACTCAAAGAGAATAAAAAAAAATAAAGGCCTGGAGAAGTGCAAGCGACTGTGCCAATCGGCAAGAATCAGAACTAAGCAAAAAATAGGTGGTGGAGCGGTCAAGTCACATCGAAAGCCTCAAAAGTAAGCCATTGTTGACTTGTCCAAAGTCAACACGTCTTCACGCGCCGAGGCCAGCATGTCGGCCGCTCGACGCACAGACTTGAAATGCTCCGAAGTCCTGAGAGAGCCCAGATGCGCGTCAAAGTGAGCCAGCTTAGCGCGACAAGCGACGCTCCGCAAAACAGACGTGGATTGAAACTCACTCGTCTAGTTGAGCTGCGAGGGCCTGTAGGTCAGGCAATGACTTATCGATGGTGGCAACAATATCCTCGCGGGCATCAATGAAAGGGCAGGCAATGGCTGCCTGCATCTTATCTAAAAGCGTCAACACCCGCTTGCCCGGGCCTACCACGTCCGAGTCTCGCTCCGCCAGCGCACCTGTGATGCGATCCAAGTCAAAACATGCAGCAAAATTGGCTCATGAGGCGTCCGGATTTGAGGCAGTTGCTTGCACAGAACCCCCAAAAAACTCCACTCAGACTACACAGACCAAAACTGCCGGTCGGAGCCGCTCGCACGAAATTCAGATCAGGACTGAAACATACCGCTCAAGGTGTACAGGAGTGAAGGGTGAAGCAACTTGGATAGCTCCAGAGAGGCCACCCATGAGCGAAAGCGCACCCAATCCGGCATGAATACGTTGAGGGGATCGACACCTGTAAGGTTCAGACGAAAGTCGCGGTACCAGGGATGGCGTGGGGTTAGGCAAGCACTTGGTTGAGCATGACTGATTTGGAGGCTTGCGTCTTCACACTTGCCATTGTACGACTCGGCGAGGTGATTGCAGCCTCCAAAAGCCAAGGGGTCTGTGGACACATAGCTGCACGGCCAACAACGTTTGCATCAGTCACACAGCTCACGAGTGAGCTCACGGCCTGCACAACTTGACGAACCTTTGAACAAATGTGATGCGCTCGGGGCCGCTTGTGACGGCCGAAGCGCGATGCATGACAGCTGGTCCTTGTTGAAAGACGCCATAGCCGGCCTTTTGGCGACCAAGGCGGCGAATGCGGTCTTCCGGTAGCGAACCGGTTTCCTTGATAAGCCGTTGAGCCTCATAAATGGTGCCATCGAAATACTTTTGAAAGAAGGAGCAGTCGCGAGAGGAAAAGGTTGGAGTTAATGCTTGCGAGATGCTTGCAGCGAGGCAATGGTCAGGTCCATCTTTTGAGACAGATCCATGCAAAACACACCTCAAAATGACCGCCCTCGTATTCATCAGGATCAGTCAAAAAGAGAACCTGATACAAAGCAGATTGTGCAAAGGAAGAGATCAGAGAGCACATTGTAACTCAAAGAAGAACGGGGTGGGTAGGCAACAAGTGAAAAAGAAGTGAGTTGATTGGCCGTTGTCGTCTTGGCGGACGGGGACGCACCATGACCAAAGGAGTGGTATCAAAATGCCAGCGATCAACCGGCTTTTCAGGGGCAACCTTGGGCCTAGGCGGCGTTGTGGAAGCAATAGAAATCCCACCCCCAAGAAACAAAACCCAAATAAACCCACAAACAAGCCAAGAAGTTCGTGAGGGCAGGCCTGCATACCGCTGGCTGAGAAAACGATAACAAGGCTCAGATATCTGCAACAGGCTTGAAGCCGAACTGGCAGGGGCACACGAGACAGAGGGACCGACTTGAAGTTGGTATGTCCTTGTTGGATGGACATGGGGTGGGGGACCATCGAGACGTTGGCAATGCGTGAGATGTGTTCAGTCAGTTCCGGACTCATGCAGAGGCCTTTGATGAACTTTGAGCGAAAAATGCTGTGTTTGGGGCCGACCACCATATTGGGGGAACACACGAGGGTCCGCAGGCACAGGCGCGCCAATGTAGCATCAGGGCGACACAAGGGGTAGAGGGGGTGCCAGACACGAACGAGAAGGAAGGGGCAGCGTTGGAAGTGAGCCAGCGGTCTTGAAGAAACTGATCTGTCAAGGCTGGCACATGCCGACCGGGACAACGATGCGGCGGTGAAGGTGAGGAAACTTACGAGCCACGTAATACACAAGGAATGCGGGGTGAGACGACGGCGTGGGCCTCAAGCTGCTTCATCACGTGGCGCATGGCGGCAAGACCTTCGTCCGAAAGAACGCGGTAGAGGGAAGTCACGGCCACATCTAGGGTAACCAGCAAGCTGTGAGTACGGTCCGTGGACGACTGCGTGCTTGATCACTTTGTGTGCAGTGACACGCTTGGCACCTACCCGAAGGCATCTGAAGTTTAGTCAGCTCCTCGTCACTGTAGCCCAGCTCAGTCAATGATTTGATCTGCGTAGTGCCGCATCCCATACAAAGGGAGGGACGAGATGAGCCGAGGAGAGTGTTTGAGCGCTGCAGTGCTTGCCGCTGCTTCTGCTGCAAATGGCAAGCGACTCGCACGTACCTGCTCAGGCATTTCCAGCTGGAGGTGGACAGCCGGGCTGCAATCAAGGTAGCAGGCGGTTGAGGAGATGGGTCATTGGCAGGTGAGTGATCTCGATATGACTACGGCCTTGGTAGAGTGGCAAAACAGGCAAAAATAGTAAAGGCACTCACTCAAATTCAATATCATCTTCGATGAGTGCAAAGCCATCTGGGCACGTATCGAACTGGAAGCAAGGTGCGGCCAGATGGGCAGCACTATCATAACAGCGCATTTTCGACAGTCTCCCCTGATTGTTGTGAATGTGCGTGAAGGGAAAAGGCAGCTCAGTAAGCATCGAGAAGCATGTCCAAGTCGCCGGCCTAGCCAAGTGAAAGCGAGTGGCGGTTCCACCCTACCTGAGTGAGTAGTAGCAAATCCGACAGTAGCTCTTTGTCCCGGAGTGGGGACTTTTATTCGTTGATGCTGTGCTGTAGGAGGCTGGTCGGTGGTGGTCAGAGTGCTAGATTGGCCTGAGAGCAGGTCAAGGTCGAGGTCAAGGTCAAGGATCGGGGTCTGGCTTCGGGTCCGGGTCGAGGGTCGAAAAAAAAATGCCACTCCCGCCCCTTCACAGCTCATGCGAATTCCAGCTCCAGGTCTATCAAGTATGACTTGAGCCGCATGCGTGTGTGGAAAAGTACTAGGTGTAGGTTATTTACATTTGTCTCATGTGTGTGGTCACATGGCTGCTTGAGTGTGACGGAACCTTGATGTCAGAAAATAACGGTTTTGGAGAAGAAGAAAACTAAAGAAGAAGTCACACACGGTACAGGGTTCAGATGGAGGGGGCAGCACGTTGGGGGTAGGGGGTTGAAGCCATTGGTGCCGCGTTTGTACGAGTGCGAGGCGGTGTTGCGTATGTGCCGTGTGCGGACAAGGGCTTGCGCTTAACACGGCACGCTCATCGTGGAGGACTTGAGAGAGAGGACAGCAGCGATTGTGTTCATGTTAAATTTTGGTTTAAGTTTGGTTTTCTTATCTACCTATCGTGCTGATCTGGTGCTGGCCATGGAGGGGTGGCCCCTGAGAGCGCATGGCCCGCGTCAAGTGCTCGGCAAGAAGTTAAAAAAGGTTTCTGGCTTTATGCTTCATGAAGATATTGATCCAGCCACTTGTTGACGAGAAAGTAACTGCCGACACCGCCAATGCCGCTTCCCAGACTCAGGGCTGCGCCCATCAGCTGGATCACTCGATCGTCTGCATCGGCAGGCCGTTGCTCGGGCGAAGTAGCGGGATAAACCACCCCCACAAAATGGGCTGCCGTGATCATGATGCGGGTCGACAGGACACCGTAGCACCACGCAAAGCACTGCAAACAACGTTGAGTGAGGTTGGGCAAGCCATCCATCCAAAAAAGGTGGGTTGGTGGTGGGCAAGCACGGCCAAACGCACCGTGTTGAGCAGGGTCATGACAACCGTGAACCAGGCTTGATGTTGGTTACAGACAAGGGCAAGAACGAGCATGGCTGCAAAGAGACCCGACTGTAGCGCGCCCAGATACATCTAGCAAGGCCAGCTCGAGCTCACGTTAGGTACAGCAGAATTGCGCACTCGTGCGTATGTGTATGAGTGTGTGCATGTGGCGACAGGGGGGTTGCAGCTGGTCGAGTGTAAAGATGTGTGAAACAAGGGCATGTTTGGGCTTGCTTTCGGGGCGGACATACCTCGGCACCCCAGAGGCGGCGGTGTGGGGCGGAAAGCCGGCCAAGCACATCGGCTACCTGGCCAGCAACTTGAAAGGCAATGAGAGGGTGGCCATTGGGTACAAGATAGGGAACCAGGCCTGGCTGCCAGCCAAAGATGAGGCTGGCACCCCAGCATATGGTCAGCATGCGCCAAATGAGGCGGCCACGAGTGGGGACTCCGCTGAGCTGAGCAGCGAGATCACCATCCCCCTCGTCTTCCGGTGGCAGCAAGGGCGTGCGGGCTTCCTCATCCTCATTGATGGAGAGAGACGAGGGCAAAGCCTGCTTTGATGCTGTCGAAGCTGGTAGGGCTTGCCAAAAGGGGGCAAAAAAGTGTGAATAGTCGAGGAACCAGACAGCAACGACAGAGCACGCTATGAGGACCGCGGCGATGAGATAAAAGGCCTCGACCCCAAACGTGGGATGGTGGCCACCGGGGTTCATGACGAGAGAAATGAGGGAGGGGATGAGGGCGCCAGCGCCCATGCCCGCAGAAAGGGCAGACATCATGAGAGGGCCGCGGGGTGCCGCCCAGGCCCAGCTCATGAGGTTGCCAAAGCAGCCCAGGCTGCCGGATACAGCGGCCATGGTCCACAGAACCACGCTCTTGTCATTGACTACCACGTCCCAGGCCGTGGCCAGCACGATGGCTGCCATGAGTGCAACTATGGTAATGAACATCATGGTAGGCGACAGGGGCGGGATCGGGCGCTGTGGCCAGAGCATGTACATTATAAGCAGCACGCTGCCTGTCTGGGCCGTCTGCCTCGTGGACACCACAGCGATGGTAGCAGGTGAAAGATGCACAGGCGAGGGTGAGACAGGTACTTAACACGTTTGACATGGTGCTTGGCCGCACAGCCAAGCACGGGGCGCCCAGGGTGGGGGACGAAGCAAAGCCAAACACCAACCAGACTCATGTCAGCAGCAATGGTTTTTTTTTCGGGCATGGGCCGGTCCAGAAAGACGACGAGGGGCCCCAGGAAGAGCGAGTTGATAATGTAGAACACAGCATTGCCAACCAAGAGGTGGAGCGCATAGGCCCAACGCGCACGCCGCTCCAGGTGTCGCTGATGCTCGGTATATAGCTTGTGTTGTCGGAGCACGCTTGAGGACTCGTCCACCGGGCCAAGCGCCGACCAGGGCACCGGTTCAGGCTCCCAGCCCTTTGAGACTTCTCGCAGCGAGGTCATGGTGACGCGTTCTCCCCACCCGCGCCCCTTACCCGCCACGTCCCTCCCCCTTTCTTTTGCTCTTCGTATCCCGGCTCACAACACCAGGTCATGCGCGCAACACTCGCAGGGCAGCCTCGGAGCCGGCGGCCAGCACCGCCGCACGCCCAGGAAACACGAGGCGGAAGCAAGCAACTGCAGAAAAATCAGCAACAACCACAAAATGTGCTGCAAAAACCTCACGAAATGTATTGGGCGTTTGAAAGAGAAACAGCTTGAAAAGAGCGATAATGTGATAAAAGGCTACATCATCGGCATCACTCGGCTGTGATCAAAGCCTTTGTCAGACTCGATGTCAGACTTTTGACCACAGTTGATGTAGTAAATGAAGATGATGTAAAGGTTATTGCAGATATGATAATAAAAAAGTGTCAACTAATGAAGAAAAGTATCAAGTAAACGACGCTGCGATCTTGCATCTGATGGTGCTGTTTCCAGTCATGATGCATCCATTTTGAATCATCGGCACGATCTCTGTGTTTGTCGTGAAGGAGGAGGCCCCCGGATCGATCGGCGTTTGGTAGAGGACGGCGGACGGGGCATTGGTGTGACCCGGTACTCAAGTTGGTTGGCTGCCGGCATTTGGCACTGGCCCAATAACCGAAGCAAGCGAGTGAGCGGGGGCGTGTCCGTGGGCCACAGTCCGAGAGAAGGAGAGAGACCAAGGAATAGGAGGAAGAAGGCGCGGAGCGACTCGTGCCTGTCGGCGCGTCCTTTTGAGGGTCGTATTTATGGAAGCACGCAGCCAAGACGCAGCATCGCCCATCATGGCGACAGAAGCCATCGGAGCCTCGGGGGGTCACATTGCGGGCAGCTGTAGCCTGGGCTCGCTGCCCTGCAGCCCAAAGGCCTCGATTTTGCAGGCACTGCGCCGGCCCAAGCAACTCTTCTTTGCCGTCATGCTCTTGCAGCTCAGCGGGTCTATGCTGTATACACTGGTCAACATCGCGCGTGGAGCACCTCCCTCCACGCTGTCCTGGATTTTTGCTTTTGGCAGCACTCTGCCCATCACCAGCTTGATTGCTATTTCAACAGGTTTGAACGCTTGCTCCCTGGTGGCGGCCTTTGCAAATGGTGGCATGCGCGTTGTGGCATCCTCCTTCTTGGCTGTTCTGCTGTCTGCTTACTTGCGTTTGTGTCGGCGATGTCACCCCTCTGGTTGATGTATGTTATTGTAGTGGGCAGGCTTCATGCCTACTTTGGTGGCACAGCCGGACAAAATATGGCTGTTCTCTACTTTGTTTCCATGCTCACTTCGCTGGGAGCCATCGGTACCTCTGCGGTGCACCTACGCAGCCCAAGCACGGTTGCACTCATCTCCACTCTCACGTGGGCCACCTACGATCAATGGTACTCCAAGCTGGACATTAGCCTGGCTGCTACCTGGCTCTATCAGCATCTGGCCCCCGTGCCCGAGTTTCAGATTCAGGATCTGCAAGGCCAAGTCGTGCGCTCTCCACAGCTGCTGAGCCAACACCCAAATTTGCCCTTGACGCTCTTGGTTTTTTACCGTGGTGATTGGTGCTTTGCCTGCATGTCCCAGCTGCAATTTTTCGTGCAACGGGCGGCCTCGCTGGCCAAAGCCGGGGTCATGACTTACTTTGTATCGTCCCAGCCTCTGGATCAACGCAAAGCTGTGGCCGAGCTGCTAGCCGATCAGCCCAACATGGCGCAGCTGTATGATCCCAACAACGCTCTGGCCTTTGATTGGGGATTGCTGAACCTGGATGTCAAACCGGTGTTCCTATCTCCACAAACGCCGGTCGACGCCGCCGTGCCGACTGCCATTCTCATCAACGCCCAGCACCAATTAGTGCGCAGCTGGATTAGCACCGATTTTCGCTCCCGTGTCTTGCCCGTGGACATTATCGAGGCCGTCAAGGAGGAAGCTGCCTCACGCACCAAATCAGGTTATAACGAGCCCATCGGTCGTCGAGCTACATCCTGAACAAAATTTGGCGTGTTGCTGCCTGGCTGCAGCTCGTTTTGTATGTGAGCTAATTGTTGACGCATTGTGACTGGTCGTTGTCGTGTGCCCCATTGCTGAAAGGTGTGAGCGCACACGCCGCTGTGCGGACTCTGTTGCAAACCCTTCACTCAATCCACCATGTCCAGGATTCTTTAAATTGAAACCCATGCAAAGGTATTCATGTCAAAATGGCAAGTAGCAAGCTGCGATACAACTCCAGTTTGGCGCCAAGCAGCGAGAAGGGCCAAGACCAGAGGTTCCCTGGCCAGTGTAGAAGAAAACAGAAAAGGCGTCAGCCCTCAAGATCCCATGCATAGGCCACCGAGGAAAAAACCAAAGGGGGGAAAGGGGAGACCACACGAGGGGTGACAGTGTATGAATAATCTAGATAAGCGCCGAGCCCTGCCTGGCGAGGCAGGGTTAAGCTTGGTGGACGGGAGTTTGCCAGGTTCGAGCCAGCATGCAATCCAATACGGTCTCCTGATGCTGAAGTTGTAGCCTGCACCACGAGTCATCGAGAAGATTGCCACAGAGTGAGCAGCAGGGGCAACGGCCGGGCGCTTTGCAAGCAGGCAGCACCAGAGGCACATACCGTAGTAAGGCTTCCATCATGGGCCGCAAGTGCGAGTGCGAGACGCCTATGCGCAACAGCATGCTTTTATCCAAATGGGGCAAAAGCCGGCCCCGAATTTGCTGATGATTGGCCAGACGGCGCGTATGAGTCAAAAGAGCATCGGTGTACTGCGCGGGTCATGGTGTTGGCGGTGTGGGTGGGAAATACTTGACAGCAAGGGGGGGGGGAGGGGTACCTCTTGTTCGAAGCGCTCTGCGTATTCAGCCAGGGGCTGTCCCTTGGCGTGCAGCCAAGCGTTGACTTCATGACTCTGCCACTCTAGCACTGTGCGGGGAAGGCCAAAGCCGTGCAAACAGATCAATAGAGTGAAATGCAAGCGCTTCAGCTTGGGTAACAATTGGGTATGTGCATGTGTGCGGGCGGGACTGTGCCAGTTCCACGCACAATCAGCAATGACAAGGCCGGGGATGGTGGCGTCTGCGTCCAGGCTCGTAGAGGTGGGCGCCACCGTCTCATCGTGCATGGGCTCTGGTACGACGGGGCCGGGCGCAAAGTCAATGACTGCAGGGTTCGACCATGGGTGGGTGTGTTAACAAGGAGCGAGACATAAGCACAACGATTGCGCTCAACCGTGGAATTGGGCCAGCGGTCAAGCACGGCAGCGGGCCAAGTGCACCAACCAAGGCTGGTGATGTTGTGGGATCTCATGCGCGAATTTTTGTGCAAGACGTCAGCACAAATCTGTAAGCCATGCGATAAGCGCGTTGCATGAGGATCAGGGGCGTACAAGAAAAAGCGACGCATCTCCTCTCAGCGTGTGTTGCTCTGGTGAGTCGACCAGCATTGCTGGTTTGAGCGCCCCCGACCTGGCAATAATTTAGCTGGCAGACCGTGCAGGTACGGGCAGCAGGGGCTTCCTCGCAGTTGTCGCAGGTCAAGCCCGTCATGGCGATGGAAGAGCAAAGTCTGGGCCACGTTTGTTGAGGTGGCGAGACGTCACACCAGAGCCTGCGCCCGAAATAATCTTGGTTGTCGTTTTTTTTTTTTTGGAAAACAGAGCCGGTGCGTCAGGCCTAAACCAGAGCCGCTGCGTTGTTGATGGCAGTGCACTAAGGCGTACAGGCTGTGCTGAGGATGGGCATCAAACAAGTCCTTTCAAAGCGCTCAACGCAGCACAGAATGGAGGTTCAGCGTTGGGCGAGGCCTGAAGCTCAACCGGGAACATTGCAGTCAACCAGCGGTGGCTTGAAAGCGCATCAAATGTCCCACGAACAGAATGCGTCCCGGTGCAGGCCACTTGCGTACAAGGGTGGGCAGACACCACTTTTTTGAAAGCTCGTGCATGGTGGAAACGACAACAGCTGGCGGGCCGCAATAGCATCCCCCGACATGCAGCGGACACGTAGCCCCAAGCCCCAGAACCAGTTGTTATGGTGGATGATTTGGTTCAAAAAACCGACGCGAATATCACACTGTTTCAGCCGCCTGATGGGAGGCCCAATGGAGGATACCAAGGTGTTCAGACCCACAGCAGGAGAGGAGGAGAGGGCGGGGGAGAGACAGAACTCCATTCCGTTGGCTGTGGTCAGGGTTGTCCGCAACCAGATTACGAACACAGTGACGATACCATTTGTTCCACAGTTTGTCAGACGATTTAGACAGAACGTACAGCAAGCGAACAGAGTGAGAACGATTCGATTTTTTTTGTGGAGAAGAGAGAGAGAGAGAGAGAGAGAGGGCAGCGGAGGGCAGAGAACGGAGGAACGAGACACACGGGGTGTACCAGGGGTATACGGGGTGTACGGCCGCGCACGTGGAAGAACGGAAGCGTATGTGTGGGTGTGTGCGTGAGTGACTGGCTTATGGGGGATACGCCATGGGGGATCTGGACGCTGGGGGTCTGTGAGTGACTGTTACATCCGGCGTGCCGATCAAGCACCGGGCTCAACAGAGCTGGTGTTGGGGCAGTGTGCACGGCTTTCAACATCATGGCCAACTTGATTGCATACTCGGAGGGCGGGGTTCGCCTGTTCAATCGGGGACACCCCTTGCGGGAGGTTGGTCAAGCAGATACTCCTTTCCAGCCCGTTTGGCAAGACAGCTCAAATACCCGAGCGCCGTCCGCATCCCAATCGTTTTGCCATTGTCCTCATCCCATCCTTTCCGCCGAATCTTAGCTTGACGCGCCGCTGCAGCAGCTGTTTGCTGCCGTTTTGACCTACGTCGAGGGTCAAGGAGCGACTCTCCTCAGCTGCGATACTGTCACTGCCAAAGTGGTGTGGGCTCACAAGGGCCAGTGAGTTGATGTCGCGCCCCCGCTCGAAGCACAGTTTGAGCCTGTGCTTTCGTCTTATATCGCCACGGCCATGTGCCAATAGAATGCTGATGATCTTGCTCCTGCCGCATCTGGACGTGCGCTCGGATCAGCCATGGCTTGCTCTCCTCGATATGATGCATAGTCTTCTGGTACGTATTTTAGAGATGGGACCGACAGCATGTATCTGCTGTTGACCCAGGATCGATCTTCACGACCGGGTTCTTTCCTTTTAGTTGGCTCTGCTCGGTCAACCCGTCCTTGATAACACCAAAGCTGGCGAGCTTCTCCCCAAGCTCAAGGTGTGTTGCTCGTGCACAAGCAAACGCGTGATGATGACTTGGCCACTTTCTTCTCCTCGCGACGCTCGAGTGTGCACCTTGCACGTTTGCGCATTCGAGAGTCCTGATACCGTCTGGTCCGATTGTTTGGTCATTTCCTCTCGTCAATCTAGATGGCCTATCCCATTTTGGATCATCTGCTAGCCTTGCGCTTCGATCGTGGGGGTCTTTATTGTGCGTGTCCACATGTCCATGCCAATCTGGTCATGAAATGTTTCATGACCAAGCGCTGTGGTGGTGCTCGATCCACACTCTCCTCGTCAACCTTGTTTCATTCAGACTCGCTTGGACGGCTTGCTGTTGCTTGACCCAAATGATCAACGTGCTTCTTTAGTGGGAGCAGTGGACGTTGCGTTTCCTCCAAACGTGCCTGCCTTACAAAACGCGCTGGACCTCTTTGCCTACGAGCTTCAAGCCAGCCGCTGCTTTTTGATCGTACACGGGCGCGTCGTTGTGGCTTCGGACGAGTATGTGGCCGATTGTTCGCGTGACTCATGGCTCATGTTCTTGCTGCTTCGAGTGGCATTGCATTGCGCGAATGCCTATTCCATGGCTCACAGGCACGGCATCGCTGACGCAGGTATTGGTCATTGTCAGCCCGGGATAAGCTGGTGCTGGCGTGCTTCTTCAGTGACAAGAACGAACTGCCCAACGATCGCTTGGAACAGATATTTTTCCTTCCCGATGCTAGCCCAGATGTACGTCTCTTGTCGTGGTTGATCCTGGCGCAGACAAGACCGAGCCTTGTACCAGGTGAATGCTGGACGCATTGCTCGTGCTCAAACATCTTCATGTCCTTTCAGAGGCCTTTTCGCTTGCTGGCCTTTAACGTCATGGATAACGTGATCATTGGCGCACTGTGCGGCGCCGAGCCTTCCCTTCAGCATGTTGTAGATGAGGTAGGCTCCTTCTCGTAACGATTTAGCCGCTTTTGACACCCGATCTGAAGACGCATGGTGGTTTGGCGCATCTATAGGTTTTGGCCCAAGTGTGGCAACCAGCCTTTGAAGCGCTCGAAACAGCATGTACCTTGCACGTCAACCCCTGCGACATTGCGTGCCTCCACCCCGACATCTTGGCAGCCTTTGTGTGGGATCGCGCTTACCACCGGTGCTTATCGGTGGTGCGACCCGAGACCTCCCCATCGATACAACAAGAGCTGCTCCTCTTTGCTTTGGATGCCAATCGCCTTGATTGGGAGTGGCAATTGACTGCATCCTCGTCAACATCGGTCAAGGGTGTTACCAGTGCCAATTCCAGCCGCCTCTCGCATGTTTCCCACATTTCTAATCAGGATGACGGTCCTGTGTTGACGGTGCGTACCATCAGTCGCACACGGCCGTGATCCCGAGCGGCCTCGCACACACTCACTTTTGGTGTCATGTGGCTGTGCGTTTGGGTGGTGCATGCTCTGCAAAAGGCCCTGCAGCGGTTCGAGGGTTGCACGGGGGATAGTCGTTTGGTGGCCGCCGATGTAGGCTCGGACCTGATGCTCTACCTTGCCTTGAGGCCCCAGGTCTGTCATTTGCCATCCTGAAAGGCGACCGCTGACAATCCTTTCATTCACAGCCCTGGTCGATTGCTTTCGCCCATCCACTCTTTGATTCAGATCTTGCCGCTTAACGTGGAGCAGCGAATTGCGAGCGCTCAATCCTCGCTCGTAGCACACCTCCTCTAAGCGGGTGCGCCATTTGTTGTTCGAAATCAAGCCGATTAATTTTCGGTGCACATTTCAGGCTCGCACGTCCCGGACCACCGCAGCCCCCAATTCCAATCGAGTACTTCTGCATCGCGTGCAAGGCCCAATTCCATATCCGATGTTTGTTGCGAATTTTATGGTGAAGATGATAATGAATGAATGAATAGAAAAAAAGAAGGAGAAGGTGCTGAAGCAAGAGTGTATCTGAAGTGCCATCCAATTTCCGTCAGCGTGATGTGCTTAGCAGAAGGTCGTGCCCGATGTCGAGCATCAACCAACGGAACCCGGACAGAGGGAGCCAAACACCGGTCATCGTGTGCTGCGCACAGGCGAACACCGGCGCAGGTCTTAATCAGCAACACATGCAAAAGATTAACCTCTTGACAAGCAAGAAAGAAAACACCTCAAAATCACGAGAGCTTTTCTTGCTTAGAAGTTGATCATGGCACCCTTGCGCTTCTTGTCACCACCCAGCTCGAAGTGCTTGCAGCGCTTGAGAGCCTTCTGCGACTTGTACTTGCACTCAATGCACTCCATGCGCAGCACGACCTTCTTGGTGGTCTTGGCCTATTATTTTCGCACACAAGGGGTTGATCGGATGTGAGCATTCATCACCAGTTACCAAACTGAAGATGCCACGTTGGTTGGCAAAGAAACAAAACGGCAGAACCAGGGCGCGAGACAATGACAGAAACAAAAGAAAACATATACAAATAAAGGGAGCCCCCAAGCAAGTCTGTGGAGCCAAAGGGCCAAAGCAAACGCAAAAGGCCTCACAACCCAGACCCGCGTGTGCAGCGTGACTTCAGACTGACGTGCAAAAAAACCAGTATTTCCTCACAAAAAAGCTTCGGAAATGGTGTGGTATTCCATCATCACCAGTCACACAACGACACAAGGCTGGACTACATCCTCTTCCCGTTGACACACACACGTTCGGAACACTCGGAACATCCAACCACAACACATCATCTTGCTCGCACATGTTTGCACAACGCACAAAGCCGCTAGTACTGAAACACAAGACTACGACGCAAGGCATATGCCACGAGCCAACAGACAAAATGACGAGACCACAGGTGGGGCAATGGCTGTACCTTCTTGTGGAAGACGGGCTTGGTCTGACCACCGAAACCGGACTGCTTGCGATCGTAACGACGCTTACCTACACGCCATGGCACAGACCGGGGTGGAAAAATACAAGTCAAACAATCAGCGTCCGCACAAGAAACAGATAGACCTCGGCTTCAATCCAGCCTGCAAACAATTGGCATTCATCCAAATTCTGTGGAGCAAAGTACCTACCCTGGGCGTACAGGGAAGCCTTGCCAGCCTTGTACTGGGTGATCTTGTGCAGCGTGTGCTTGCGGCACTTCTTGCTGGCGCAGAAGGTCTTGCGGTTCTTGGGCACGTTAACCATCTGTGTGACAGGTCAGGTAGAGGTGGAGATGGATCAGCATGCATGAGACCCAAGGCTTGAGCAACGGTCAGGGGCAGAGAAGGAAACGACCAGAAAACCACGAGCCGAGCTGCAGGGTTCAGGCAAGCAAGGTCACAGCCGAAGCGGGGTGCACGGTTCCAGGCACGGTCCCAGGCCTTGCCATGCGCAAGGCTCGAGCATGGACCATGGCCTTGTTAGACCTGGCTCGCTCATGAGCGTGTGGTGGGTCTGGCTTTGTGCGATAAACCAGCCACACCTCACGCACGTGGGGAGTTTTTATTGAGCCGAGCCAGGCCTCGAACCCGATCCATGAGCCCGTCTCACACCAGCAAAGCAGGCCTGTTCACGGCTGCACAGGCACGTCGCCACCCACCGGGCTCCAACCCCCCGGCTCGCTGCGCCATGGCAGGGGAGGAGACACGCGACAGCGAGAGAGACTTACGGTGGCGGTGAACGAGTGCACACGATCAGAAAAGTGAATACGTTTAGACCCCAAAAATACCTTGTTTCTTATTCAACGTGGTAAAACAGCTGTTTAGAACAGAAAATTGCAATTTTGTTTGCTCCCGGACACACGGACGGACGAACAAAATGTCAGACAGATTTCCAGTCAGCAGCAGAACAAAAGGACCACCACTACGAGCGGGGGTGATAGGAGCCGTAATTGGCGCTGCTGGTGGGGTATGCAGAGTAGCTGCCATAGCCTTGTTGCTGGGACTGCTGTTGTGGTTGTTGTGGTTGTTGCGGCGGCGGCATGCCTGGCTGGGCACTGTAGGCCTGGTAGGAGCTCTATCATAACAGAGACAAAGGAGGAGTGAACCAAAAGTCAAGTAAGTGGCATGGCTTGGCAAAAAAAAAAAAAAAAAGCATCAAACCTGCTGACCTGATAGGGACCGGGAGCATAGCCCATGGAAGAGGGCGGCATGGAGGAGGGCGGCATGGAGGAGGGTGGCATGGAGGAGGGCGGCATGGAGGAGGATGGCATGGAGGAGGGCGTGCTCGCGTGGGCCATGGAGGAGGGCGGCATGCTCGCTGCCGCGGACGCTGCATGCCAAGGGTGCAAGGGGCAGATGGGTCAACCAGAAAGAAAAGAGGCGCAAAGCAACGAGCCGAGCAACATTCGCCCGGATACGAGCCAACGAGGCCTTTAATGACAAGGCAAGCTTGTCAAGGGAGCCGGACAGCCCCCCCAAAAAAAGACTCTAATAACCAACCTGGGGCAGTGCTCTTGCCTGGACCCTGGCTGGGATTGGCGGGTGAGGTAGGGGTGGGGGAGCCAATGGGATCAAAGACGCTGACGGCAGGGTTTGTGGTCTTGGGGGTGGTGGCCCGGGTGCTTGCCTGGGACGCCGAGCGCGCCAGTGCATTCACCACTGTGTGTGGACGGAACGAGAGGGAGTGAGAAACGGTTGGTCTGCAGTTTCCCTTGCTAACTGCTGGCGATCCAGAAGCACAGTCACAGTGGGCCAGTCACGTACTGCTGGTAGCCTGATTAGAGGCGTCGGTTGATGCCGAGGGTTTGCGGGTACCCGAGGTGCTGCCCGCGGTACCACTGCCACTGTGGCCGCCAGTCACACTGCCGGCCACCTGATCAAGGCGCCGCACAAGGTCGTTGACTGACACGCAAACATTTTGCAGCTGCCGGTGGATGTTGTCGATGCTTGCCGAGTCGATGCTCGAGACAGCCGCATCCGCTGTGAGAAGAAGGGCGGTGCGGTGCATGAGAAGGCGCAAGCGAGGTGATATCTGAATTTCAATATGGCAGCAATAGCCATGGCAAGGCCGGGGCAGCAAACGCAAAGGACGAGCACCTCACCACAAATGGTGAGCCGGACGGTGGCCGAGGACATGGTGGCCAAGTGCAGGTCCTGGTTGTCCACCATCGTGATCAAGTCACCATCTGTGTGCGTGGGTCGTACCAAAAGTGGGCGAAGACAGCGGTGAGGCGCCTCGCCACTTGGTTGCGATGGCCAGAAAGACTTTGGAGCTCTGTCGATATCGGAGCGGGAGCGGGGGAGCGGGGCCTCGCACCTTCATCCTCATATTTGATGGTAAAGTCATCCTTCGGGAGGCGACCAGTGGGGCCAAAGACGCGTTGGAGCATCAAGACGAGGTCGTCGTACGTCAAATCAGCGTTGTGAATGGGAATCTTGCGAATGTCGTTGCCCAGGCGAACTTTTAAGATGACCGTGGAGGCCCTGGTTGCCATCATGCTGGTCGCACCAGGCTGCGGCGGTTGTTGGCCTTGCTGCTGATACATATTCCCGTACCCGGGTCCTCAACGAGCAACACAAACAGCAAAGAAGCAAACAGCGGGGCAAACGCAGGCAAGTGCGAGCCACAAAGCCCAACGTCACCAGCAGGCAGCCACTGAAAAAAAACGTAACAACCAACAACAACAAGAAACTTCAAAAACAACACAGCATTCTCTCTGGTCCTCTAGCTCTCTCTGGCTTTCTGTGGTAGTTTCGTCTCTTTCTTTCATCTGTGTGTGTCTCTGTCTCTGTCTATTCGGCAAGCAAGTTTATAATGGAGAGGCAAATGTTAGATTATGTGGCTTTTTTTTCTTGCTGTTAAAAGCAGTTTGTGGGTTGAGAATGGCGGCGACAGGGTGTAAGATGAACGCGATATGGATGCTGGTGGCTACCATGGTGGCCTGGGCTGCTGCCACTGCGCAACCCAATGTATGTCCATGTTGGCTTGCTTCCATTTATCGCCCAACAGGTGTATGGCGTGCGGCTCGACGCCTCATTGTCCCATGGATGGTGCGCGCCTGATCGAAACGTCTCTCGGGCTGTGCACTCGCAGATCCTGCTTATTGTGGCAGATGAGTGCGTTTCTACTCGTGATGTGGCTGCTCCATGCCTGTGTTTATCGTGATGTTGGAGTCCTGACTACAACCTAATGCCCTTTCCCGCACAGTTGCGCAAACCTCACCGTGATCACCTTTGGCTTGCGCACAGCTTGGGCTGGAATGATGTTGGCTGGCATGAGCCCGATTACAGCCTTGGCCTCACCCCAAACATGAATCGTCTTGCTAAAGAAGGCATACGACTCAACAACCACCATGTGCAACCCTTTTGGTTCGTCGTGTGGCTTTGCTACCAAGCCCCGTGTTGTCAGGCGCATTGGCGCCTCGTTCACTCACCTTTGGGTTGCCGCTGCCCTGTGCAGCTCACCAACGCGTGCCACCATCTTGACGGGCCGTCACGTTCTGCGCTATGGTTTGCAAAACACTGTGCGTGTCCCACAGGCTCATGGAGACCATTGCCGTTGAATGCGTCTGCGCGCTTGCGCTCGGCGGTGTAATCCCTACGCTGACTTGTGCGCTGCCACCATCTAGGTCATCTGGCCCCAGGATGCATGGGCCGTCCCTCAGAATGAGACACTCTTGTCGCAAAACCTCAAAGCGGCCAATTATCGCACTGCTGCGGTTCGATGCCATTCTCCAGCGTCCCGAAGCAGTACAGCAGGCATCCCCTCATTGTGCTTGCCCTGATGATCGCCTTCATACCCACAGTTTGGCAAGTGGCATCTGGGGCTCTTCAAGGAATGGGCCCTGCCCACCTCGCGAGGTTTTGACGATCAGTATGGGTACTATTTGGGCGGGGAAGATTACTACAACCACACTCGCAATGGAGGCTTGGACTGGCACCGCAACAGGCAGCTTGTGACCAACGAGTCTGGTTGGATCTTGCCAAGCCATGACACCATCCGCTGGTTCAACCGCGCCCGTCATCGTCCATTCATCAGACCTGTACCTTAGGTATCTACAGCGCGGGGCTGCTCGGCGAGGCAGCGGCTCAATGGATCAGCCAAGGCCCCAACACGCTAGATGACGCAGAGGCGCAACCATGGTTCTTGTACATGGCATTTCAATCGGTTCATGCACCTCTCCAGGTACCGTCAAGAGCCTCGCGAGTTGTCCATGCGCCCGTTCGTCTTGCTTTGCATGTCACTATTTCCACCAGAGCACATGGTTGACAATTTGTGTTTCAACGGCGCAAGCGCAGGCCCCGCAGAAATACCTCGACCGGTTTCCAAACCTGACAGGCAGCGTGCAGGTCCGCAACGCCATGGTAGCAGCCTTGGACGATCAAGTTGGCCGCCTGTACGACACGCTCAACGCCACGGGTCAGCTGGACAACACGGTGATTGTCTTTCTTTCCGACAATGTACGCCACGCGTGGTCCTTGCTTCTTGGTCAGCTGCCCCGCTGAGACTGAGAGACTCACTCACAATGGCTGTTACTCCCACAAGGGGGCACCGTATACAGATGCCCTGAGTGATGGCGACCACCGTGAGTTGGTGGATGTGATGGGCCTATACGGTGCCAATCCGCCCACTCCACCCAACGGAACCCACGGCCCAGGCGGGGGCTCCAATTATCCACTGAGTGGTGCGTCTCTTGCTAGGGTCATGTCGACACACCTCGTTGACAAGTGCTAGGGAGGGTGGGTTGACAGACTTGATGGACTCGCCTGCTTGCTTTGCCTACCCCTGTCCGCAGGCTGGAAGCACTGGGTGTTTGAGGGCGGCGTGCGCTCTGCTGCGTTTGTTTGGAGTCGACAACTGACCAACCCGGGCAGCGTTCACCACGGCTTGTTTCACTCAGTGGATTGGTTGCCAACGTTAGCCCGGTTGGCAGGAGCAGATACATCGGCCAACTTGCCGCTGGATGGTTTGGATATCTGGGATGCGCTGCAGGCGGGGGGCCGCACCAGTCCTCACACAGAGTTACCCATCGAGATTGCAGCGTGTGGCGCTGACAAATCAGATTCAATTGTGGACGGTCCTCAGGCGGCCATCATCGTCGGGGACATGAAGCTGATTGTTGATTGCTACTGGCGGGGCACCAAGGACAAGGCCTCGGCCCAGCTGTACAATATTACGGCCGACTGGGTATGTTGCTGCTCCTCATTACTGCTCCTCCCGTTTCATTCGTGAGATGGGCTTCACCGACAATCACTTGCCCACAGAGGGAAATGACGAACTTGGCCAAGGTCATGCCCAAAGTTCTGGAGCACATGTTTGATCGCCTCGAGTACTGGGAGCAGCAATCAGTGCTGCCGTACGAAGAGAACGGCATTGATGGTAGCTGCGGTGAAGGGGCCCCACAGGGTCAAGACCCACCTCGCTGGGATCCTTGGTGCTGAGCTCTGGATGACTCTTTCAATCGACTGCAGCCCATTCTAGCTTCTGTGCTCTTAAAAATGGAAAAAAAAAGAGTGGGCCAACAGCACCATGTATTCCCATCTGGTCACCCACGATAGTACTAGCATGGCCCAACATGGCTTAACTGCGGCGATCGGACGAGAGCCGGTGTATTCCATGTGGTATGACCGTTGGCGGAAGTGAGAAGTATAAGTTGTTATATAAACAAGGAATGCACGGAAAAAACTCAAGTCTTGATCACAAAGGAACTGAGGGCACCTTGAATCTCGAGATGAGACCCGGCCCGTTCATGTGCACGTCCAACGCCGTATCTGGCTGATTGTTGGTCGGTCAATTGATGGTCCAGGAAGCAAGTCGTGAGTGATGGTCAACGAGCGGCCCAAAGTCCACGTTCCAACTGCTATTATGAGGGTCGGAAGGCAAAGGAAAAGAAAAAAAAAAGAAGGGGGCGATATTGGCGTCCCAGTCTGGCGTCTTTCAAAAATAAATTGCTTGCGATGCGACTAGTGCTGGGTGGTAGGGAAGATGGCTGAGTTGAGTACACCACTTAAAATGTAGGCTGTCAGGCCCCAGATGCGGTGGGGCGCGCCGTCAAACTGGGGCATCTTGACGCCGGGGAAGCCTAAGAGGTCAAGAGATAATGTCAGGGCGTGGGTGTGAGTCGAGGCGGGGCGGATTGCTTGTGTGTCTTAAGCTTACGCGAGGTCGACCAGGTGGAACGGAAGCGCGGGTCCATAAGGGTGGCAAGCGGCACTGTAAACACCTCTGCAACCTGGTTGTCCGTGACGGGTTGTGGTGAGCTCGAATGCAGGAGCAGTGGTGTGGTCGCAGCTTCAGCAGTGTACTGAAGCGCCAGGGGGGATGGTGAACAGCCGCACCTCGCTTTCATTGAAGGCTTGGTTGCGTGCGTCGACGTGGCCCAGGTAGGCGACACAGGGTGTGACGGCGGCGGTGGCATTCTTGTTTGTCACGTCGTGCCAGCGGCCAAGGATGCGTTGCGGGGTGAGGAAGATTTCTTCTTGACATTCCCGAATGGCTGCTGCCACGTCGTCGTGATCCTCAGGGTCCACGTGACCGCCTGGAAAGCTGGCAGGGGCAAGGTGTGTGATTGGTGGTGAGAAGTACCACGGCGGCGGCAGTGGCAGTGGTGAGCATGGCATGTTTACGAGACAAAGAAAGCAGTACCTGACTTCGCCTCGGTGGCTGCGAAGCTCGGAACTGCGAAGCGTGAAGAGGACTGCAGGGTCCCGGTTATGGTCATGGCAAAGAGCAACAAGAACGGCAGCATGGTTGCGGTCAAACTTGGCGGTGAGGTCAACACGACGCAGCTGGGCGAGCTGCTCCTCAATGTGGTCGAGCCCTTCGGGGTCAAAAGCACGGGCAATCATATCTGGGGTGGTGGATGCCATGGGGGCGGCGGCGAGGGTGTGGACCTGGGCCCATACGCGCATCGATGTCAAGCGCTGTGCGGCGCGCCGCCATGATTCAAGCAGCAGCATCGTTGTTGCTAGCCACATGGATCAGGGCGCTGCGCCGCGGGGAAAACTTGGTCGCTGCCTGCCAAGCTGGCCCGTCTGGGTCGTTTGAAAAGACAAAAAACACAGCTGGCGGGACCCAGTCCAGGTGGAAATTTAGCCAGGTGCTTCTTCCTCCGGTTTCAATCCGATCAGGCAGAGCAGCAGGAGATCCAGAAAGAAGAGGCGTGCCGCACCGTCCGTCGGCCCTGGCTGCCAAAAGTTGATCCTTCCCCTTCGAGCTCAACAAAAGTTTGTTAAATTGTTGAAGAAGCTCGGGGAATTGGGTAACAATGTCAGCAGTTACTATGTCAAAAGCGAAATCATCTCAGACTAATTTTTGCGATTACAACGATATAAAATTTCACGGGATGGCCACCGCCGCAGTTACATGCACTGCTGACATCACCCATTGCTACCACCTGTCATCCCTCGGCTGCGTGTGCCCTTCCTTTTGTTTGTGAGATGCACACGCATCCCCCTTTGCAAGAGATACGTGTGTGTGTGTGTGTGTGTGTGTGGGTGGTGTGTGCGATTGCATTTTATTCCTTCAAGCAAAAGGTACGCTCTCTCTCGCTCTCTCTCCTCTCTCTCTCTCTCTCTCAATGCTCTCAATCTTGAAAGGGCAGCGTCAATGATGCGCTGTGGAACGTGAGAAGAAGGGACGTGGGGTTCGGGGCAGTGCCTTTGGTCCCTTGTTGAAAGGGTGTTTGAGGCTTGTTTGGGCGAGCTGCTGCTCGTTGGACTGTGTGGACGCTCCTTGTGATTGATGGCATTTGGTCGGACTGCGTTTGTTGTTTGGTTTCGGGTTGCCTCACCGTACACACACTGTCTGGCTGCTGGTGGTCGTCTCGGATGCAGTTTGCTCGATCACACCGTTATTTTTATTGAAACGCCGTGTGTGCATATTTGTGTAATACCAGCAACCACACAGGCATCATGAGCGGTTTTTGTAAGTGGCGCGCTGCCTTTGCTGTTGATCGGCTGCGGTCGTGCTGCGATGCCTTGTTTCATCACGACCCTCATTTCTGCATCACATCAATGTCAACAGATCCTTCGCTTGAGGATCTCGAGGTCGACCATCTTGCGCGCGTAAGCCTCTGCTTTCTGCAGGATTGATGTCGCGTCACCCTTTGCTCTCCATGGTCACCTCACGGCCCGTGTTGCCCGAGATAGGCCCAGAACAATGCCGCGCAGGCGGTGGCCAGCATCTCTGCCAGCGCCGCGGCGCAAGAGCAGGCCTATGGCGTAGGTTGCGCCTTGAAGCTTGAAGCCATTCTGCCGGACGCATGATATTGTCCAATGACAAGTATCTCAGTTGACTCGTCCTCATGTTCCTGCTGCGCGCCATCAGGTCAAGAGCGATTCTAGCTCCCTCTACTCTGGTCTCGGACTTGAGGAATTTTTGACTGATGACTTTATGGGTCTGGACGTTTCGTCCCAGGCCATGGCCGCTCAACTACCCCAGGAACTGGCCGTGGCCTGCATGGCTCCTGCACCTGTCTCTACGCTGCCCGGTCAACAGGCCATCGCCTCGATCACCCCAAAGAATGATTTGGGCATGCAGCGAGCGGAAATCAAGCAAGGCGTGCGCAAGGTTGTGCTGGCCAAGGATGGCAGTGGCAAGCTTGGTCTGGCTGCCAAGTCCATCGACAAGGGCGTCTTTGTCAGCTTTGTCTGGCGGGACAGCGCTGCCTCGCTCGGCGGCATTCGCTTTGGCGATCAGATCCTCAGCATTGACGGCGAGAACGTTGCCGGCTGGACCGAAAAGCAGGTGCACAAGAAGCTCGACAAGGCCAACCCTGCCTGCATCACCCTCATTCTCCGCGACCGCCCCTGGTGCCGCACCGTTACCACCGTCAAGGACAGCACCAACCACGTCGGCTTTACTTACAAGCGCGGCGAGATTAACAACATTGTCAAAGACTCCTCTGCCGCGCGCAATGGCCTCCTCATCCATCACATGCTTGTCGAGGTCAATGGCCAAAACGTTGTGGGCGTCAAGGATGAGGAGATTCAAAAGATCTTTGCGGCGTCGCCCCGTTCCGTGACCGTCACGATCCTCCCCACATTTGTCTACAAGCACCTCATTCAAAAGTGTGTTACCCTGCCTTTGATTGTTTTGACATTGTCTCCCGCCCCCGCCCCCTGTTGTTGGTCTTGCCTCGGGTTATAAACTTGGTGGTCCGACACGAACAGCTCACTGTGGGTCTTCTCCTTGTTTGATGGCCGTGTCTTTTAGGGTTGGCTCGTCGCTCATCAAAAAGTACATGGACCATTCGGTGCCCGAGCTCTAAGAGCACCACTCGAAGCACCAGCCCAGCCCTGCCCCAAGGCTTGAAACTCGTAAACGTGGCGCCGGCGCCAATAAATCACACTTTGCACTCGTTCCTTGACACGTCCGGCTTGGTGGCCAAGGCCAGCCTCATTGAAGGATGGCCCAATAAGGATGGTGTGCGCTCGTCCTTGTTAGGGTCTTCGCCTTTGCGTGTTTTGTTTTCATCTGATTTTGTTTTCGTCTCGCTGATGTGATCAAGGTGACTTTTAATGTTGCGTGTTGTGTTGTCTGTACACGCGATGCCCTCATTTGTGGACGTGCTTGTATTCAACAATGGGTCAACCTTTCTATATCAATTTATGGTTACTCTTCCATTTCAATCTCGCCATGTGATTGCGAGGTTCTTTGAATGATAGAGTCACAGGGCGTACAATACAATGCGTGCAGATTTTGGAGAGTGGTGCGTGGAGCGAGCAACAGACCACTTGACAAGCAACGAAATAGGTTAAACAGGGGCATGCTCACACAGGGACCGCGCATAAACCAAGACGGGGAAAAGCGAGTCACAACACAAAAAAGAACAAAAGGCGCAACTCAAAACATCGGATACGCCGCGGCCTCCTCGAGGATGACCGACGTGCGTGCGTATGGGTAGGACAAGGCGAGCGCGTTTTGTGCTAGATGCCCATGTGCGGGTGTTTTCTGGACTCGCTGAGCATCACTTCAAGAACGGGCAAGTTGATGCGCAAAGTAGGAGGCTCAGGTGGCGCCTGCATGCTTGATGATGGTGCGCAGCTGACCCATGATGCGTTTCTTGACGTCATCCTTGAAAACCTGTATCATGATGGCATCGCCGGTGGCCGTTTCGAGGCGGAACGTGCGTTCGTCCACATCCTCCAATGTCTGTGCGGTGGCGAGATCCAAAAGGCCTTGTGTCTTCTTGGTTTTAATCTTCTTGCGCCATGTTAATTGTTGGCCGGTGATGGAAAACCACATGGGACGAAGGGTCTTGCGACGGAGGGAGCGGCCCGACTGCGTCTTGAGCAAAGCCCCCTGAAAGTCTTGAGTATCAAAGCTAAAGAGGCGATGGAGCAGTGCTTCAAAGACGGCTCGCCCGTCTGACGGCACCTTGCCCGAAGTTTGCAGGCAAGTCGCCTGCAGTAGCTGGCCCAGAGACTGGCCTTCCTCCTTGGCAACATTGGCCTGGCGCCGGAGATCCATTTTGTTGGCAACCAGCACTGCGGGAAAGCACTGTGGATCAAGAGGAGTATGGCATGTGAGTTTGGGCCTGTCCAATGGGCGCGAGGGTGGGCTGAAAAGAGGGTCACTGTGCTCGATGGTGGCGCGGCGGAAGGGAGGCGCATTTCAACACACCTGTCGATCCTGTATCGTACGGATTTCATCGATGATTTCATGGAGGCGCTCGTACGAGGTGCGATTAACGGACGAGTAGACGAGCACAAAGGCATCGGCGTCTTGAATGTGACGGCGGCGGCAGGGACCCAACTCCTCGCTGCCTCCTACCTCCACAATGTGGAGACGAACGGGTCGCTGATCATGGACGCGCACCAGGCGATAGGTATCTTCGATGGTTTCGTAGTGCTCGGGCTCAAAGAAGAAGGTATCAAAAAAGTATGAAGCCACAATGGCGGATTTGCCGACTCCTTGTTGACCTAGCACAACAATTTTGATGCTGTCTTCTTCCTCGCTGTTCCTGGGCACGGGGTCCGAGCTAAGCTGAGAAGAAGAGAGCACACTGTCTCCTCGAGAGGCACGCGTCACCAAGGCATCTGAATCTGTGGGAAGAGGCATAGGACTACGGGATCGGTTGGGTGCATCTGGAACGGGCTGGGCATGAGCGCCGAGGTCTTTGATATCGTCGTAAGCTGAGGGTGTCTTGTTGGCGGAGCGGTGGCGCGAGATGCGTCGGAAGAAGCCGCCGCCCTCCATGGCGGTCGACTTGTTCATTGACACCCAGAAGCAGAACAAAATGCGCTCCACTCGCCTGCCAAGCGAACGACCAAGCGAACGACGGCGTTCTGCACCAAGGCAGTGGTCGGGTCGGGCAACGCGACAGTAACAGCGACTTTAATAAAGAAAAAAAAAAGCAAGGCTGGGAGACTGAGGGGCGGCCGTTGTTCACACTCGGACTTTAAAGTTGGCGACCTGCCTGCAAATCAGGGAGGGGCACCAGTCCTACGAATACTCCGTGTTCTGCCAAGCGTCAAGCGTCTGCTGAGCATGAAAAGTCAATCGCGCTTCCGAACAATGACCCGTTGTTGTGCTGCTTGGCTTGTGGTCCAAGCTTGACGCTCGAGTTGCCGAGTAGATGCTGGAGCACCTTGCGACGGTGTCCAGGAGAATGCTACGCGGAGCCGCGATAAGCGGCTGTGGCGCGCATACAAAAGTCACGGATCTTGTCCGCTCCATTCCTGCTGCAGCAGCTGACGGATCACTGGGCGGGACAGCCGCTGCAGTGGCAGCGCAAAAGGGAACCCGGACGTATCGACTGTGGGCCATCCTCGCCATGGTCATCCGTGCGCCCAGCGCCATCGCGCCCCCACTCGACGGCAGCAACCGCGAGGGTTGAGTCGGGGAACACTGACGCGCCAGCGCCATTTTTTTCCCGGGCGCCCCGAAATATGATTCATGACTGATTTCGTTCTCTGGAGCTCATTAAATCGCTGACTGGTTTCGTTTGCTGCCAAATTTTGTGTGTGTGTGTGTGTGTGTGTGTGTGTGTGTGTGTGTGTTGTGGTTGCGTTTGTCACGCGGCTCGCACAATCTGAGCTTTTCCGGCATGTTGATCAATGGGTGTGGTTGATGCAAGGTGATGACGCTTGATTTTGAGATGATGGGTGTGGAGGCGGTTCACGTCAAGACTGTAACGGCAGCGCGCGTGATGGGGGTTGCTGGGGGGCCAAGGCTGGCTGTGGACCGCAGACGCGATGTGGCGGCATCTACACGACTTGCTGCCAGTGGCTCATAGAGCGCTTTGGTGTTTGATCCGTTGGGCTGATTCTATAACGTGTTAGTGGGTCGATTTCGTAAGAGTTGGGTCATGAGATGATGACCCGACGAGTGAGCAGGACAGCGCCGAGGCGCGCGACGAGGAGAGCGAGGCCATGGGTGTGAGGCGGGGCCACAGATGTTGTGTGCACGACTGTTGGCTGCTTAGAACACCCTGGGCTCAAGTTGAGGCGTTGCTGGGGTCGATCACTTCTAGATCATGGTCGGGCGTTTTTATGGCAGAAAGGAGCAGAATTCCATGACCACGCTTGGTTCTCAAGCATCGAGACCCCAGGGATCTAGCCCAGCCAGCCAATAAGACCAAGCTAGCCAGCCTGGCGACACCATGTGTATACATTCAATCTAACCCCCCTGCCCCATAAGCCCCCCTGCCGGACAGACGCACACACACTTCCTCAATTCGTAGTGTTGCGTGTGATCACGTCGTGTGTGTGTGAATTTTGTGCACACAAACAAAAGAAAAAAGTCTTTTGTTTTGGCTGTCTCTTACACACACACACACACACACACACACACACTCTCTCTCTCTCTCTCTCATATTTTGCACCTCGCGGGACTGTCACAGCAACAGCAACAACAGCAGCAGCAGCAGTCGTAGCAGTTTTGTGGTCAAAGCTGCTGGTGCTGGTGGCGGTGGCGGCGTGAACCGGCCTTGATAGCATTTGTCTAGCATATCTCTCGACCTCCCTCTCTCCGTTTCATTTACCACCGGCTTCGTTAGCCTCTGGATCAACTCAGCTCAGGTAACAAAAGTTGCACTGTGAGACCCCTTTTGCCAACTTGACCCAAACCACTGGACGCGAGCAAGGCCCCGGACAGCGGCTACACACACACACACACACACACACACACACACACACACACACACACACACACACACACACACACACACACACACACACACACACACACACACATACACATACACCCCTACACACACACCCTATGTCCTCTCCTGTGTGGGGTCGGTATTGGCTTTGTGCCTTGCGCCCCTCACCTCACCACACCACGCCCGCACACATCCTGGCGTCGGTAACCCATTTCATGCATCACCAAGTGTACAGGCGACGGACAGTGCGCGGGGTTTTTGCTTGCACACATGTTTGGGCCTCGTTCTTGACATCACAGTGGATCTAGTCGTTTGGCCCTATATTGCTCTGTCGCGACTGATTCCGACGTTTATTTGCCCATCGTGACCATGCCACCCGCGCCCGTTAGCATGGCTGCCCGCTCAAAGACGCCGCCGCCCGCCCGGCTGGCGACCGGCCGCCCTCGCTCTTACAGCCAGGACGAGGAAACCATCAACCGTCGCAAGCGTGAACAGTCCATCAGCTTTGAATATGTCCTTGGTGTGGAAGAGCTCACCGAGGACAACATGAGTGCCATCCGCGACCTCTTCAATCGCCATCTGCACTGCACCCTCGCCAAGGACGTCAGTGTGGCTACCGAGCGGGACTACTATCTCTCCCTTAGCTACACCGTTCGTGACCATGTCATGGTACGCCCTTGCTTTGAATCCAGTTTTCTTCCCGTCTGTATGCAACCCCGCCGCCCGATCGACTCGATGCAGCCTGTCCCACGCCTTTCCCAGATTCAGCCCTCACAAGCTTCGCCCCCACATGTCCGATGCGCCGCACTGCGTCCTCTCTAGTCGTCATGGCACAAAACCCACCGCGAGTACTACGCCAAGGACCCCAAGCGTATCTACTACCTCAGCCTTGAGTTTTACGTCGTGAGTCTGCATATTCAGTTTGGTCTTGACACCGACCATCACCGGTAGAATGCGCGCACGTTACCTCATTCCCCACGGCCTGTCCACATTTGTCAATACGGAATCTTGTCTTCTCAGGGTCGCAGCCTCACCAACATGATGATCAACCTGGGCATTCATGGCCTTTGTGCTCGCTCCCTCTACAACATGGGCCTGCGCATGGAGGAGCTCGAGGACGTCGAAGTCGATGCTGGCCTCGGCAACGGTGGTCTCGGCCGGTGTGTGCGGGCATGCCTGCCTCCAACACCCCCGGGTCATGCCACCTTCACCTGAGAGCTCACCTTGCTTCTCCCTCACTGCTTCACAGCCTGGCCGCCTGCTTCCTTGACTCGATGGCGACGCTGGCGCTGCCTGGCTACGGCTATGGCTTGCGCTACGAGTACGGCATCTTTGAGCAAGCCATTCGCGACGGTTTCCAGGAGGAGCTGCCCGATGACTGGCTCAAATTTGGTAACTTTTCTCCGCCCCCCTTTTTTTTTCCTTGTCATATCCCGCTGCTCTGGCACACGTCAAGAGCTGCCGCAATCTTGTTGGACCACCCATCATCGTCATCATCGCCATCCTCAATGTCCAATGCATGCGTTAGGTAACCCTTGGGAAGTTCCCCGTCCCGAGTACATCCTCCCTGTACAATTCTATGGCGATGTCAAGTGGCTTGATGATGGCAGCTTCAACTGGGAAGATGGACAGATCGGTTTGTTCTCCCGAGCACACATTCCCGTACTACTGTGCGCATTCAATACTCTTGATCAAATTCTCATCCTCATTTCGCGCTTCCCCTGCTGACCTTTGCTTCCAGTCCTCGCTGTACCATACGACACACCCGTTCCGGGCTACCGCAACAACACCGTCAACACCATGCGTCTCTGGAGTGCGCGTTCCCCCAACAGCTTTGACCTTAGCTACTTCAACCACGGCAATTACATCAAGGCTGTCCTGGATCGCAACCTGGCCGAGGTACCTTGGGTGTTTCTATTTTCCTTGTCCGCCCGTGTGGGAGCAGTCTCGTCCAGCTGCACAACCTTTCTGAGTTGACGGACCCACGTTACGCTCTCACCCACCGCGCCGCACCCCGTGTCTTCATTGACCCTTGGTTCTGTAGCGCATCAGCATGTGTCTGTACCCCAACGACAACTTTTTTGAAGGCAAGGAGCTCCGCCTCAAGCAGGTTCGCTCGCCGCGCCATGGCCTCGCACATGCGCACTCAGTCTTGCTGTCCGGCACGTGCTTTTCTTACCTTGAGCCACGCAAGCGCAGTCATTCCTTTTCTCAGCCAATCCTGCTCAACACTACTGTGTGTCTTGCCTTGATCCTACGCTAGGAATACTTTCTGGTTTCTGCAACTCTTCAAGACATCATTCGTCGCTACAAGCACTTCCGCACCGGCATGAAGGATCGCGAGTCTCTGGAGCGCACCAACTTTGATCTGCTACCCATGAAGGTGGCTGTTCAGCTCAACGATACACATCCCTCGCTGGCCATTCCCGAACTGATGCGCATTCTTGTGGACCAAGAGGGCCTCGAGTGGGACCAGGCATGGGAAATCTGCACCTCAACCTTTTCCTACACAAATCACACCATCTTGCCTGAGGCTCTGGAGCGCTGGCCCGTGACTCTGCTTGAGCGCGTTCTCCCCCGCCATTTGATGATCATCTACGAGATCAACCGCCGTCACTTGGACCACGTCACGACCCTGTTTCCGGGTGATCTTGACCGGTGCTCGCGTATGTCGCTCGTTGAAGAGCTTGGCGAAAAGTCGGTCAACATGGCCCACCTCAGCATTGTGGGCAGCCATACCGTCAACGGCGTGGCAGAGATCCACTCCAACATCCTCAAGGAGAGCACCTTCCGTGACTTTTACGAGATGTGGCCCCAAAAGTTTCAAAACAAGACTAACGGCATTACGCCTCGTCGCTGGTTGCTCCAGTGCAACATGCCCCTTGCGAACCTCATTACCGAGTACATTGGTGAGGGGTGGATCACTGACCTCGATCAGCTCACCAAGCTCACTCAGTTCCTGGACGACGATGTCTTTGTCCAACGCTTCATGCAAGCCAAGATGAGCAACAAACGCAAGGTTGCCAAGATGCTGCGCAAGGACTACGGCATCGAGGTCAACCCCAACTCGATGTACGACATTCATGTGAAACGCATTCATGAGTACAAGCGACAACTGATGAACCTGTTTCACGTCATCACGCTCTACAACCGCATCAAGGCCAATCCGCGTGGCCAATTCACGCCTCGCACCGTGATCATTGGCGGCAAGGCTGCTCCCGGCTATTACATGGCAAAGATGATTATCAAGCTGATCACCTCGGTTGCCGACGTCGTCAACACTGATCCCGACATCTGTGGCCGCCTCAAGGTCATTTTCCTTGTCAACTACCGAGTCTCGCTGGCTGAAAAGATCATTCCTGCCTGCGATCTCAGCCAGCAGGTCTCTTTGGCCGGCACTGAAGCCTCAGGTACCGGCAACATGAAGTTCCAGATTAACGGCGCCCTGACTATTGGGACGCTTGATGGCGCCAACGTTGAGATCGCCGAGCGCGTTGGTGAGGACAACATTTACATCTTTGGCATGAAGGTGGATGAAGTTGATGAACTCAAGGCCAAGGGGTAAGTGTATGCTCGAGCGATTTTGTGCCGCCGCGCTCACACTTGTCTCCGGGCCGCTCGTTGTTTATTTACAAAGCTCTCCTGCTCACATCAACGTCATGGCATCACCTTACATGGCTGCTTCAGATACGACCCCGTTTCTTTCTACGAGGAGAACCCCGAACTCAAGAAAGTCATCGACATGATCCGTGATGGCTACTTCTCTCCTGATTGCAAAGACCGGTGCGGCAGAGACCATCGCACTCCTTGTTTGTGTGGCAGGGTTTTGCTGCTGTTACCTGGTGTCCTTCGTTGAAAAAAAAAAAAAAAAAAAACCGCGGGTGAATGACTCACAGGCATTGGGCCGAACCCTTTGTTGCTCTTTCGACCATTGCTAGCTTCCACAATCTCATCGACACCATCACGGTGCACGGCGACCGCTTTTGCGTGCTGGCCGATTATGCCGACTACATTAAAGTGTGTTTCTACCTGTTCGGATCAAAATGTGGTTTTTGTTCAAGCCGGGCATCGTGTGCTCAACTGTCAAGTGCAACTCGCCTCGCCATAGGTGCAAGAACAGGTCTCAGAAGACTACCTTGATCAAAAGAACTGGGCCCGACGCTGCATCATCAATGTTGCCAACGGCGGTGGGTGACTTGTTTCGGATTTGCTGAGAGTTGAGTTGAGTTGAGCTCATGCTTCTTCTTTCGTCTTTTGTGCAGGATTCTTTTCCAGTGATCGCACCATCAAGCAGTACGCAGACGAAATTTGGAACGCAAAGCCTGTGCCCATTCGTGATGAAGATGAGGCCGGTGCTTCGGACGTCTCAGCTTGAAAGCTCGTCTAAAATGCGATAGTGTCATACTTTGTTGGCACTCTTTGTGCGCGTGTGAGCGAGAGTTTATGCACATGCGCACGCTCTCTTCTGTCGTTTCTTTTGTTTCTTCACTTTCTCTCTCCTTGTTCTCATTGTCGTGCCATTTCCTGCTTGATTCCAGTCATCGTCCCTACGGTCATGACTTCTATTCATCCTCGATTTCCTCATCTCAGTTTCAGGTCCCAGCTTCACAGCCACCATCGCACGATGCGAGGACACAAAATTGGGTGATTGGCAGACATACACCGGACACAGACATGGAGATACAGAGATACAGAGATACAGAGATACAGAGATACAGAGATACAGAGATACAGAGATACAGAGATACAGAGATACAGAGATACAGAGATACAGAGATACAGAGATGTGATGTATGTCAAGCAACGAGTCTGCAAGCACACTCAAGGTGGGGATGCTGATTGACCGTTGGTCGGGGGTGTGGGGTGTTTGGTTTTATGTTGTGGCTGTTGGAGTCAGTGGCAAGCAAATCGCAGAGGCGGGGAACTCGAAGCGACATCCAAACAATCCGTGTTTGATGAGCTTGCCGTCCTAGCGGGTTTCTTGGAGACAGTCATAGTGGTAATAGTAGTGGTCGTAGTTTTCGTTGTGATGGTTGTATCCGACTCAAAAGTCTCAACGGTCGTTGTGGTGGTGGTTGTAGTGGCTGGGGCTGAGTTTGAGTCGGTGACCGTACTGGTCGCTGTTGTGGGGCCCGACGAGCCGGGTTGTAGCGTGTGCGACGAAGCAAACGATCTGCTCTTAGAAGCAGCAAACGCCTTCGGCGCAGCATCGGTACTGGTTGGGGAAGTAAAAGAAAGTGACGATTCCGGATTAGTGGCGCTTACGGGCTCTAAAGGAGCAGTGGTGGTAGTGTTTTTTATTGCGCTAATTGAAGAAGCAGAATTGACTGGAGTCGATGGCAACAAGGTACGCTTTGGTGAACCAAAAGAATGCTTTTGTGCAGGAAATGTGCTGCTTGCTGAAGTATTTTTGCTAGAGCCAGGGGCAGGTTTGGTTCCAAATCCATGTTGGGCAGGCATCCTGGGTTTGGTAGTGCGAGCAGGAGACTCAATGCCAAATGAAAGCGCTGATGTCGCAGCCGCAACCGGCTTGGGGTCAGACCCACATGCCTGAGCCGCCGTGGGTGTAGTGGCTGTCGCTTCACGCGTGGTAGACCTCACTAGAGTTGCCGTGTCATTGAGCTTGGTGGTCGACGTTGTGGTGGCTGCTGCTGATGATGATACGAAGGATCCGAAGCCACCGAAACTAAAGGTTCCAGACCCATTGGGCTTTGCTGTTGACGTTGTGGTGGCTGCTGATGATGATGAAACGGGGGATCCGAAGGGTGCACAAGCTATTGTTCCAGATCCAGTGGGCTTGGTGGTCGACGTTGTGGTGGCTGCTGCTGATGATGACACGGGCGATCCGAAAGGTGAACTAGCTGTGGCCCCAGTCTCATTGGGCTTGGCCGTCGTCGTGGCCGTTGATGAGGCTGCTGCTGATGACAATACAGGGGATCCGAAGCCACGGAAACCCAAAGTTTCAGCGTCATTGAGCTTTGCTGTCGACGTTGTGGTGGTTGCTGCTGATGATGATACGAAGGATCCGAAGCCACCGAAACTAAAGGTTCCAGACCCATTGGGCTTTGCTGTTGACGTTGTGGTGGCTGCTGATGATGATGATACGGGGGATCCGAAGGGTGCACAAGCTGTGGCCCCAGTCTCATTGGGCTTGGTGGTCGACGTTGTGGTGGCTGCTGCTGATGATGACACGGGCGATCCGAAAGGTGAACTAGCTGTGGCCCCAGTCTCATTGGGCTTGGCCGTCGTCGTGGCCGTTGATGAGGCTGCTGCTGATGATAATACAGGGGATCCGAAGCCACGGAAACCCAAAGTTTCAGCGTCATTGAGCTTTGCTGTCGACGTTGTGGTGGCTGCTGCTGATGATGAGACCGGGGATTCGAAGCCACGGAAACTAAGGGTTCCAGTCTCATTGGTCTTGGTGATTGACGTTGTGGTGGTTGCTGCTGGTGAAGACACGGGGGATCCGAAGGATGCACAAGCTATTGTTCCAGATCCAGTGGGCTTGGTGGTCGACGTTGTGGTGGCTGCTGCTGATGATGACACGGGCGATCCGAAAGGTGAACTAGCTGTGGCCCCAGTCTCATTGGGCTTGGCCGTCGTCGTGGCCGTTGATGAGGCTGCTGCTGATGATAATACAGGGGATCCGAAGCCACGGAAACCCAAAGTTTCAGCGTCATTGAGCTTTGCTGTCGACGTTGTGGTGGTTGCTGCTGATGATGATACGAAGGATCCGAAGCCACCGAAACTAAAGGTTCCAGACCCATTGGGCTTTGCTGTTGACGTTGTGGTGGCTGCTGATGATGATGATACGGGGGATCCGAAGGGTGCACAAGCTATTGTTCCAGATCCAGTGGGCTTGGTGGTCGACGTTGTGGTGGCTGCTGCTGATGATGACACGGGCGATCCGAAAGGTGAACTAGCTGTGGCCCCAGTCTCATTGGGCTTGGCCGTCGTCGTGGCCGTTGATGAGGCTGCTGCTGATGATAATACAGGGGATCCGAAGCCACGGAAACCCAAAGTTTCAGCGTCATTGAGCTTTGCTGTCGACGTTGTGGTGGCTGCTGCTGATGATGAGACCGGGGATTCGAAGCCACGGAAACTAAGGGTTCCAGTCTCATTGGTCTTGGTGATTGACGTTGTGGTGGTTGCTGCTGGTGAAGACACGGGGGATCCGAAGGATGCACAAGCTATTGTTCCAGATCCAGTGGGCTTGGCGGTCGACGTGGCCGTGGTTGCTGCTGATGATACGGGGCGATACGAAAGGGTGAACTAGCTGTGGCCCCAGTCTCATTGGGCTTGGCCGTCGTCGTGGCCGTTGATGAGGCTGCTGCTGATGACAATACAGGGGATCCGAAGCCACGGAAACCCAAAGTTTCAGCGTCATTGAGCTTTGCTGTCGACGTTGTGGTGGCTGCTGCTGATGATGAGACCGGGGATTCGAAGCCACCGAAACTAAGGGTTCCAGTCTCATTGGTCTTGGTGATTGACGTTGTGGTGGTTGCTGCTGGTGAAGACACGGGGGATCCGAAGGATGCACAAGCTATTGTTCCAGATCCAGTGGGCTTGGCCGTCGTCGTGGCCGTGGTTGCTGCTGATGATACGGGGGATACAAAGGGTGAACTAGCTGTGGCCCCAGTCTCATTGGTCTCAGTGGTTGACATTGTGGTGGCTGATGCTGGTGGAGATACGAAGGTTCCAAAGCCACGGGAACTAAAGGTTCCAGCCTCATTGGTCTTGGTGGTTGACGTTGTGGTGGCTGCTGCTGGTGATGATACGAAGGATCCGAAGCCATGGAAATCCAAAGTTCCAGCCTCATTGGTCTTGGTGGTTGACGCTGTGGTGACTGCTGCAGGTGATGACATGGGCGATCCGAAGGGTGCACAAGCTGTGGCCCCAGTCTCATTGGGCTTGGCCGTCGCCGTCGTTGTTGATGAGGGTGAAGCCCCAAATGTAGAAGGGATCGGGGCACCAAAATTAGGGGGCTTGGCCGCCGTCGCTCCAAAGGTAGAAGAAGTTGGGGAACCAAAGCTACCAGGCTTGGCCGTCATTGTCGTCGGTGAAGCATCAGCACCAACGCCACCAGCTGCAGCTCCTGATGGGGCGGTAGAGCCCAAAGAAAGGCTGGATGCGGGAGTAGTTGCCTTGGCTTCCAGCGCGGCAGTGGAGCCAGCCGTCGCCGACTTGGCCTGTGCGGCCCCTTTCTTCTTGCGCCCCAGAGGAACACCACGCTCTTGAGGCAAGTGCAGACACTGTGCAACAGTCATGAAGCTATACCCGCTGTCCGTCAGCGCAAAGCGCGCATCCGCCTACACAAGTCCAGGTTCAAGCCCGAGTTGTGAGTGATGCCTGCCTCAGCCCAGCCCAGCTTGCTCATGTTACGCATACCTTGGTAGCGCCCTCTGCATCCATGACATGTTCAGTATTGATGCAGTGATAGAACAGGATCTTGCCGCCGGAGGTGAGGATTGTGACGATGGGGCTGGGTGGTAGTTCGATCGCAGTCGGCGGCTCGGTCGGCAAGACGGTTTGGTGGCTGCCAGGCTGACAGGTAGCCAGAGCCATGCCAGCCACAGTTTCAGGTGAACCGTCATCCGTGTAGGAAGGCGGATCTAGAGGGTAGAT